TTTTAAATAGAATGATGCTTCACATCAATACGAACTCAATTTTTTTCAGATGAGCAGTTTAGATTTCGCCATGGACATTCAACTACTCATCAACTCTTAAGAGTTAACAATTTAATTCGTTCAAACAAATCTGAAGGCCACTCAACTGGAGTTGCTCTTCTAGAGATAGAAAAAGCATTCGACAGTCATGAAGGTTTGATTGCTAAATTGAAAAAGTTTAATTTTCCAGTTTGCATTATGAAATTAGTTCTAAATTATTAAACTGACAGAACTCTGCAGGTAAATTATCAAAATTCCAAATCTAATCGACTACCTGTTAGAGCAGGAGTTCCTCAGGGGAGCTAAAGGAAGAAGTCTTCGTGTTATTTGCAGCAGACTGCAGAAAAGTTTAGATATTTTCTCTTCTTATTTACAAAAATGGAAGATTTCTCCCAACGCTTCCGAAACTCAACTTATAATATTTCCACATAAGCCTAGAGCTTCCTTTTTGAAACCTAGTAGTAGTGTTCTATGAACAGGGTTCCAATTTCCTGGTCAAACCAAGTGAAATATCTTGGATTAATACTTGACCAAAAATTAACTTTTAAAGATCACATTGAGGGCATTCAAGCCAAATGTAATAAATATTTAAAATGTTTGTATCCTCTTATAAACAGGAAATCCAAACTTTGCCTGGCGAATAAACTTCTAATATTTAAACAAGTTTTTAGACCGGTCATGCTTTACGCTGTGCCAATATGGTCTTGTTGTTGCACTACCAGGAAAAAAAAGCACTTCAAAGGATTCAGAACAAAGTTCTGAAGATGATTTTGAAGTTGCCTCCCTGGTACAGTACTACCGAAGTGCATAGAATTTCGAATGTTGAGACTTTAGCACAAATGTCCAACAAAATAATTAATAATTTCCGGCAAAAATCGTTGCAATCCTCAATTGCAACAATTAATTCTCTTTATACTTAGATAAGCCTTAGTTTATGTTTTTAGTTTTAAAATATCAATTGTTATACTGACATGCAGGTTTAAAAAACCTGTTTAAAATACTGAATTGCCAAGACAGGAACAATGTAAAAATACTTATAATAATACTGTAGTAACTGCAGCACCTAGGATAAAATTAAATGTAATTTATTTAGAATTTGAAACAAATAAAGAGTTGAAAAAAAAATAGTGTCTATTGTAGTGATTGGTTGACTGAATAAACAGTGGTTCTTGTCGCAGGTGAGTCCCGGTGTCTACAGTAGTTAAAAAAAATGACTGAACTACGATTGGTCTCTGTTCCCCCCGGCAGGTGATTCACAGTATCGGTAGTAGTGACCGATTGATTGAACGAATAGTGGTCCTTGTTCTTCCCGGAATGTGATTCTCGATGTTTGTTGTAGTAACCGATTAACTGAATGAACATTGGTCCTTGTTCCTCCCACTATTTGAGTCCCGGCTTTTTATAAATCCAATGGCTTTCGAACGTGAGTGGTTGTATAGAATTACGATAATGAGCTCTGAAATATATTTTTAGTTGGTTCAGATAAGTGCAATTTGTTTTGATCACTATTTGAAACGTGACGAAATACAAATATGTGTTTTATTTTAAATATTTAGAAACTATTGACAAACGTGAGTTGTTTAATCTTTGGAGGAGAACCGCAGGGAACCAAAACAAAAAATAAGGCTGTGTAGCTTCCGAGGTAATGGCTGTTCATAAAATAGATATGAACATCATGCCAGATGTCGTTTCAGCAGTAGAGGCATATGTCAAGAGCATCTGTCACTGCTTCCAAAAGCTATGAGTCAAACATAACCGCACAACTAAAAATGTGTTTGGCTATAATGAGGCATACTTTGATAATCCGGTACAACTGCCTCAAGCTATACGTGATAAGCTTCCATCTTCTTCCAATTCTCAATGACCTGACCGAAAAGTATTGCCTTTTGATAAAAGCATAGACAGTGTGAAACGGCAAAAAACGGCCAAATCGCGGGCCGAACATGAAGCAGATGAGCTTTGCTTTGCTGCGCAGATGAAGCTTCGATAATCTTAAAGAAAAGACGAATCGGCACTCATCAGAGACTTTATTCTGGCAACTCCTTCGCGAGCGGAACAAGTACTGTCGAGTTTTAAAACATCGCTCAAACTCGATATTGTACAATATACACCAGAAGAGACTTTGGCGGTGATGCTGAATACTAACTTAACAAAGTCGCAATACACAAAACTTCAAAAAGAAGCTAAGGCGAGGAATGCGAACATCTATCCAATATATCATACAATTCTGACTGCTGCCCTGATGCAATAACCATGACTGAAACTGTTGTGAAAATTAAACTGAAAAATTAAAGAAAAAAAGAACATCTACTAGAATTTTTGAAGCGGTTTCCGAAACACTACCGAACATCAGTGATGAAGAGCTTCTCAACGTTGTGTTTACAATCAAGTGGGGATTCGACGGCAGATTATCGCATAATGAATTCAAGCAGAAATTTACATGTGAGGTTGGTGAGGGTGGTATAATATCGCCACCACCACCAATATTTTGATCGATTCTGGTGTCTCCCCTGTGTATGCCAGAACGTTATGATAAGCCTCTATTTTTGAATAACTACTGTTATAGGTGATGATGGGTCGTTTTCTGATTTACATGTCTTTATTACATGCATCGTGCCTATTAAGGCAGAGACCAGAGGAAAATGTTTATTTCAAAACTAGCGACCCGTTTCAACTAGATATTGCCGGCCTTCCCGTATACAATTCGTTACTGAAACGGCAGAGATTTCGTTACTAGAAAAAACTTAGTTTAGTATTAAGATCTTGTTATGTTAGAACTTTTTGCTTTATAGATATGAAATGCTGATGACCATGGTGGACGGGAAGGTATGTAATGCAGTTGCCTTGATGCAGTCATCACAGAGATGCTACATTTGCGGTGCTGCTACATCGCAGATGAATAATATAGCTCAGGTAAAGGAGCGTACGGAAAACGAAGAAGTACTTCAGTTCGAGCTCATGCTTCATGCATGAATACGTTTTTTTGAGTATTTTATACACCTGGCTTACCGCATCGACTTTAAAAAGTGGCAGGCCAAAAGACCGGACGGTGATACAATGAGAGCGAAAAAAAAACTTATTCAACAGAAGTTCCGCATGGAAATGGGTTTACATATTGATAAGCCAAGGTCTGGAGGTTCTGGAACATCAAATGACAGTGTTTTTTTTCGAGAATGGGAGAAATCTGCGGAAATAACGGGACTGAATCCAATACTTCTATACCGTTGCAATTCAACATTGTAGACATTAGCATCCGGACGCACTTATGCTCGTGGAAGAATACCCGAGGTTTTATTTGCCTGTAACGGTGCATAAAATACTTATCCATGGCTCGACGATCATACAATCTTTTCTTGTGCCAATTGGGCAGTTATCCGAGGTGGCCCAGGAGTCAAGGAATAAAGACATCAGGCGCTTTCGGATGGACCATACACGAAAAATCTCCCGAACAGTAACAAACATCGACCTTCTGATTCGTCTGCTTGAATCATCTGACCCGTTAATTTCAACAATAAGAATGGGGGCTAGGGGGCGACCCCGGCGTAGTGGTTAGCATACCGCTCACGCCAAAGTCACGAGTTCAAATCTCACCCCCGGACAAGTCACGAATGACCCAAGAGCGTTAAAGTGACTATAATTAAAAAAAAACAAAAAATCAACAATAAGACCCCTTCCAAAACAAGTCAAACTGCTTTTTTTCCGAAGATGCTCAAATTCTTCTAGTTCCATCTACCGATGCATGAACCGATGGTGAAACAGAAGTAAGCGACAATTCTGAAAGTGATGAGGAAATGGGTAGTGATGAATATTTTTTTTCTTTGATATTGTGTGAAACGGTTGATGAAATACACACTTAGTTTTTACGACCGAGCTCGGCTGTGCAAATCTCGGCAAAAATAAGTTTCACTGAGATTTCAGCAAAAGCGACATTTGATTGCTGAGTCTTGGATAATGCTTAGCTGAATCTCAGCAAACAAATGAAATGTTTTCTGAGATCTAAGTAAAAAAAATTTTTGCCGAGATTTGCACATCCGAGCTCGGTAGAAAAAACTAAGTGTGTATAACTATATTGAGATATAGGTAGTAATCATTTGAGGTAGTAATGTTGTTGGGCTTTAGGTAGTGCTGAAACGTCGCTAGAACTATTCCAAAGCCACACGTAGTATTTGAGCAAAGGCAGACGCACACTTTTTGCCTGTAGATTTGAAGACATACTTCAAATCTCCGCGTACATCGTACGGGTTAGACAAAGAGTGTGCATTTAATTTGCTCTGTCGCATGAATGACCCTTCGCTCATTTTCAACTTATATTCAATTTTCATACTGTCTTATTCTAACGGAATTATCTACCTACCCTCTCTAGCTAATTAATTATCACACTAAAGCTTCATGTTACACTCTTAAAAAATATCGGCAACTTCGATAATTTTTACCGAAATCTGAACAGCTGAACTGTTCGGTAAAATTTATGAAATTCAATTCAATTGTTTTTCAGCTACTTTGAAAGTAAATCTCCACTAAAATGACAAGATTTAATAATTTAAACAAGATTGAACATGTTTTGAAATTATTTTAAAATTCAATTGCCTTTAAAATGAAGGTCAAAGTTTTACCGAACGTTACGCTGTTCTGATTTCGGTAACATTTACCGAACACGGAAACAAAATCTTAGTGTGCATGGATTTACAACCAACTCTGATATATTGATATATTATAGTCACACAACATTTCATTCATATTTAAGCATAATATATAATATTGTATAAGCTGTGTGGCCGTGCTGATAGCGGTGTCAGTTGGTTAGACCCATTCTGTAAAATATCTCTGCACATTCACAGCGTATTGTTCTCTGTCCAAGAAACGCTCTTTTATCAGTCCATGCATAATTTCGGCAGAATAACCTATACTCGTTTGTAAAATGATATAATGTAACGCTGCAACACTTTCCTTCCCCTCCGCAGGAAACAAATACCAGTCCATCCTGAACGACGTGGACCGGTCCGAGCAGAAGTCCAGCGATAGCTCCAAATCAAATCGAGATCGATCGCCAGCGAACCGTCCGAAAAACAGCGGTAAGCAAATCAATTTTGCCAGAAAGGTCCCACCATCCCTCACGTGTTTCCTTCCCTCCACATATCTCTGCATAGGTTCCACCCATAATAGTTGGTGTTGGCTGTCGCTTGTCCTGCCACTGGCATTCCAAGTGACCCATCTGACGCGACAGTGACGGTGACTACCGGAACCGGTCGGTGCAGTTTGTTGGATGTTGCGTTAGGGATGAATCCATGAACTACGAAGAAAGTTAATGTATTGAATATGTTTAGGATTAGGATATATGGGACGAGGGATTAGTTTTTTGATGTTATCGTTCTGTTTGGTACTCCGGCAGGGACGTTGAAGCCATTACCGGAGCCGGATGGTTTTCCACGCTTGCTCATGATTTTACACGGCAAGCCTAGTGTAAAGGTAGTTATGTTACAATTTGTACATTTAATCAGAGTAAAAAACACAAAATGCTATACATATATAGTGGAAGATATAGGTAAATTTTTACGATCAATGGAGATGCCACAGCATCGTGAGATGAGGCCGAGTCGAGGTTGTTGTAAAATTATTATCAGGATATGGCAGATCAAAGTATGTTGAAGGAGACATGATACTTGATAGCGTTAATGCCTTACGTAAAAATTAAGCCAATAAACCAGCAGCGTAACCGAATAAGTCAGGGGAGAAACACGAAGAAGATGAAGAAGAAGCAGCAGCAGATGTGAGATAAGGTAGAATCACCTATTAACTGAACTGGTGTTGTGAGCTATGAAACAAGTATTAAAACTAATCAACGTGGAGGATTTCTTTTTTTTCGCTCGCCGTCTATCACAGTCATTTGAACGGAAAAGTGTTTTTAGATAACAGTCAATTAAATGTCGGCCACTAAACGGTTCAGTGTCGCACGGTGGAGGAGTGACGATAATGAAAAACTAGAACAAAGTTTCGTTTCTGTTATAAATTTGTTTCCAGGAATGGGAAGGGGGAAGGGAAGTTGGTTATGATGAATGCAGGAACGAGAAGCATAACTTTTGGTCGGACGTTTGCGTCAACTTGTGCTCGGAGGCATTCTCGGGCGAACGAATTTGCTATTTTCGTGACGCCAGCCGTATCAGGAGAATAATTGGCAATCAAGGTGTCATGTTAGCTAGTTTTATTGTTGGCTAGTTTTTATCTTCCACTGTTTTCTGGACAATGCACTGCTTGTTTCAGTTTGGTTATGTAGAATCAAAAACTAGGCTTAATTATATTGAGAATTGGAAGAATGTTTCGTGAGATTCTGCAGTATTCACAACAACAGCAAAAAAAGATAATCAAAACTTAAGACAAACGAATGTGGGTGTTAAACTAATCTAAATTTTATCGTTGTATGATATCTAAAATACAGAGAAAATCTGGCAAGAGCTATAAAATGTACCATAATCACACACACGACAACAAGAAAACGTACTGCTAAGTAATGCATTAACACAACTTTCTAAGTAAAAGAGGTACTAAACCAATCAACTAAATACAAATTACTCTTAAGGACATAAACAAGGAATGGAAAAACTGTGCTGCGCTTTCAACACAAACTGTAACTGAATCGTCACCAAAAAAGAACAAAACGAAAAACTATCAAACGCCAAACGACGAAATCAAACAAAACCTGCAGAAGAAGCAAAACCGGGATTCTAGTGAACTTTTGCAGTCGGGTAATAAAACACAATTTGTTAGCGATAAAATTGTGGACACATACCCGACACACATAGTCACACGCGCCAAAAACCCCCAGACCTTGAGAAAGCTAGCTCACTCACTCCTTAGCACACACATAAATATAAGCTGAGATAAATACTTATCATAGTTAGAACAAAACAAAAACGGAAAAAGTAAAATAAAAAGTTTGTTATCTATGATCAGACAGAAAGGAGCATCGTAGCATAAGACACATTGACACACACACGTCACACAAGAGCATGCAACTTGCAGTCGTTACACACAGGATGGACACGTTATACAAAAACCAAATAAAAAGACAGACAGACAGTGCAGCAACAACAACAAAAACATTCAGAAACACGAACATGAATGGGAAAATGAGTCAGGAGCAAATTGTTGTACATTAGACTTATGGAAAAGAACTGAAATATATATATTTTGCTTTAAAATGATGTTGTCAAACACCCCTCATTCTCCTTCGATAATATCACTTTCAAAGCAGCACCTGTGACATATTTTTGCAAGCGAAAAAGAGAAAAAAAAATACACAATGAAAGAGGCGCCAAATTCTTGAACTTATTGGGCGGGGCAAGATGGATTTGAAAATAGAGTCAACTCTCCACAAGACGATATTTTCAATAACTCGATGAATTCTGCGGTCCCTTCGTTTTCCCACAGTTCCCGTAAACGTGATCGAGTAAATAACATTTTCATGAAATAAATCCCAAATCCATGAACGCCTGTTAACTTCGTTAACTTCGCGTATGAAGTAACATAAAAAAACACTTTGAATGTAACAACTCAAGGCGGGAGTAGCCGTCAACAATGCTGATGATGGTACAGCACGCAACAACCACCCTACTGCTTTCTCTCTGAGATGATCACGTTGGTCATGACGAGAGGAGCAACACAATAGTTGGGTAAAGAAGAACTGCATTATAACACACCATCGACTGGAAATGCTCTCGCAAAACGTGGGGCTTTAGGTAGTGATGAAAACGTCGCTAGAACTATTCCACAGCCGCAGTCAGTTTATGAGCAACAAGAGGGACGCACATTTTTTGCCTGTAGACTTGGAGACATACTTCAAGTCCCCGCGTACATCGTACGGGCTAGGCAAAAATGTGCGTCTATCTTGAAAACTGTCGCTTTAATGGCCCTTCGCTCATTTTCAACTTCTATTCAATTTTCATACTGCCATACTCTAACGGAACTATCCACCTTCCCTCTTCTAAAGATCATTCTCTAGCTAATAAATCATCACACTAAAGCTTCATGTTAGCATTTCCAACCAACTCTGAAAATCGTTAACTTCGCGTATGAAGTAACATAAAAAACACTTTGAATGCAAGCTTAGATATTCTTATTATTTGGATATTAATTTGCAACGACTGAAACATGTAAAACTCTCCAGGTACTTTCCAGGTACGGAGATGTAATATCGGTCTACTGTACTAAAATTGGGTCTATAAATGGATGCAATTTCGTCCTACCAAAGATGACCCTCGATCAACAATGGTTCTGCATGTTAAATCGCGCTTCTTTTCCACGTTTTATCATTCATTGTAACCGAATTGCTGACGTCACTTTCACTTCTCGTGTAAGAACAGATGAGGAAGAAAAAGATAATGTTTTCTATTCGGTTGATCCAGATAACAAAAACCACCAGAATCATAATAAAAGCCAATAGATCATCTCACGACTCCACATATAACGGACTGTCAAGTCAAATCTAATGCAACGTGTGAAAAGGTTCTAAGTGCCAAACGTAGACAATGGCTTTAATTGTCGATTTCTCGTGAATTAAGACTCATTCAGGGAACAACACCAGCATCTGTAAGTTTGCTCTATCAGATGGTTTAGTAAGTTTGCTTGGGTGTGTTGTGATTAATGAGCAATCGTTTTTAAAGTCATTGCAAGGTGTGGTCACTAGACGGATGCAAAATTTGAAATTTTCGCTCCACAGTGCTCAAACGGTTCCATTTAGTCTCCCTCTGATTAGTCTCCCAAAATTTGAACTCATTTAGTGAGAAACTTACTTTGCACAAACCATTTGAAGTTTATTTGGCAATTACTATGGAGAAAGCATAATTTTGGTTCATATCTATCTCAAAATTCACCAGTTCACTCTAATTTAGAAGATGAGCTTGTTGACAATTTTCTAAGCTACAACTTTGTTCAAGCCCACTACTCGATCAAATGTAAGGAACAAAAATTATAAATGATTCAAGTCACTGATGTTTATTGTTTACTTTATTGTTTTTTGTTTATTGTTGTTTTACATCAACAGGCTGGATGAAGCCCCAATGATGTTAACCTTAGCAACTATGGTAAAAAAAATACATTCAAGCATGGTCATAAAAACATACATCTTATAGTCAGTTACTCCTGCCGGCGAAGAACAGAAGAAAACTTTCGACGAAGCGCATCACGGGAGAGATGAAAGTCGAAAACAGATGCAACTCTGTTGAATGTTCTCTGCACTCTACAAATCGCACCGTGTGCTCCATAATTTGTGCGACGTAGAGGCAGTCTTAGCATAAGGTTATTACAAAGCGGTCGGGGTTGAACATTCAGGTCAATTTGCCTCAGGATAGCCTCGCCATCTGCCCTTCCTTGCAGGATATCGGCCACGGTTAGGGCTCTGCTTGTGTCTCTTCTAGTCGGGAGAAGTTCTAGGTCGATAAGTTGACAACGGCTTTCGTAACTGGGTAATCGAAACGGATCATTCCAAGGCAATCTACGCAACGCAAAACGAAGAAAGCAACGTTGAACAGATTGGATTCTCTTGGCAACGTTGTTGTAGTTTGGGTTCCAAACCACTGAACAATACTCAAGCGTCGATTGAACAAGCGAACAATAGAGATTTTAGATAGTAGATAGCAGTGAAGTTTTTAGCTATCCTAAAAATGAACCCTAAAGTTCTTGACGCCTTTTCAACAACATATGCAATGTGTTGCTTGAATGAAAACTTCGAATCCAAGATCACACCCAAGTCTTTCACCTGATTCACGCGTTCGATTGTCGAGCCAAGCAGGTCATAGCTAAATATTATCGGTTGTTGTTTTCGTTAGAAGGTAGTAGCGGAGCATTTGGCTGGGTTCACTACCATTTTGCACCAACTATAGCGAATACATTCAGCTGACGTTGAAGAAAGTGACAGTCAGCAATGGAGCAGATTCGTAGGAAGATTTTGAGGTCATCTGCATATGATAACCGAGGAGCTTCGATGACCAGATGCACGTCGTTGAAATACAGTATAAAAATTAACGGTCCCATATGGCTTCCCTGAAGTATACCTGATGTGGCAAAGAAGCTAGTTGATCTGCAATCTCTTATGGCAACCTTTAGTGGCCGACCGGTAAGATATGATCGAAACCAACTCAGAAGATTACCGCATACACCGAGCCTGCCGAGTTTAGCAATCGCAATGGCATGGTTCAACTTGTCGAATGCTACGAAAAGGTCTGAATAAATAACGTCCGTTTAAACCCGATCCGACATGCTTTCGGTTATGTACGATGTGAGACACAGCAGATTGGTGGTTGTAGAGCGGCCGACAGTAAACCCATGTTGATCAGCACTCAAATACTGCTTGCAATGGGACAGCAACGGTTCCATAATCACTAGCTCGAATAGCTTCGAAATGGCACTTATCGATGTAATTCTTCGGTATTTATCCATCAGGTCCAGGATTGAAGGATGACTTGAGCAGAGTCACGGCCTTAGAAATCATCTCTGCATTAACATCAATTGCACCCATCGTTTGATCATTTACTGGAACGTTCCTGGCAGCCAGGTTAATATGGTCGTCAGTTAGTATTTCATTAGTGAATACACTGGCAAACTTTTCGAAAAAAAGGTGGCATATATCCTGAACGGTGGCAGCAACTTCTCCGTTGAATTCCATAGACGATGGGAGGCCGGATTTCCTACGTTGCTCGTTCACGTAGTTCCAAAAGGATTTCGGGTGTAGCTTAAGTTTGCGCTGGATGCCTCGTTGGAAACTTGAAAAGCATTCACGACTGACTCGCTGGTACATGTGATTCAGCCTCACATACCGTGCCGATTCAAATTTCGGACACTTAAACTCGAATTTCGGACACTTTTAAAAGTTGATTATCTCGGTCGAATATGATCCACATGTCTTGTAAATTTTAAATTTTTTTGACTAGTGCCCTCCACGATCATCTAACATTATTACTTTGTTTCTAACTGGATGTAATATTTAATTAAAAATGAAAGTGTCCGAAATTTGAATCGTCCGAAATTTGAATCGGAACGGTAATGTAGTTTTAGAGGAAGCGTGCGATACTTCGTAAATCTTCTCAATGCTGCTCTCTTGATTGACTTCAACCTACGTAGCTCTCTCGTCTTCCAGGGAGGGTGAGACACTTTGTGGTGAGTTCTTTTCGGGACGTGTCTGTCAATGACATATGCCAAGACATGTGAAAAGGTTTGCGCTGCAGCCTCAACGTCATCTGGATCAAGGATGTTCTCCCATACCATGCTAGACAATACATCTATGATGCTACGGTGGTCAGCTTTACGGAAGTCATAACCGTAGCAGGATCACGCACGAGTTTGTCCTCAACAGTGACAATTAGAGGAGGGTGATGCGGAACTAGCTTAGTTAGTGCACAAGGAGCCGAGGAAATTTATGAAGCCCTGTCCTGTGCGCTCACGAAGCAGAGGTCCAAGCTACGACCATTTTCGTTAACTACATGGTTAATTTGAGAAAGTGTCGCTGCGCTGTAGTTGTCGAGAAGGCTAATAGCCCCTGCTCCTGAAATGTAGAGCTATCAGGATCTGGGTACAGGAATCCGCTATGAGATGGACTCCACGAAACGCCTGGCAGATTGAAGTCACCAAAAATGAATATCTCATTAACTGGAGTTAACGGCGCCGGTGGTGTAGTGGTAAGCGTTAAAATTACCTCTCACCCCAGCAGGCCTGGGTTCAACCCCAGTCGGCGCCGCCGGGATGTTCTGAGGCATCTCTGATCACGCCTTCCTTCGGATGGGAAGTAAAGCCGTTGGTCCCCGTTTCATGAGTTGATGGGTCGATAGGTACGGTCCAGGTGTGGGAGCTGCCTTCCTGGCACGTCGGTAGCATTGGTGCTCAGCACGGAAAACAAGATCGACGGAAAAAAACAAACCAAAGGAAAAAAAAAAACTGTAGTGGCACTTTCGATAACTGTAAAAACTGACCGACAGTGAGTATCGATGAGTTCATTGTCACGGACTCGATCAGGTGGAATGTACATAGCGCATAGAAATAGTGTGCGATCACCCAGATTGATGGCTGTCCAAACCTGCTCCACATAGTTCCATGAATCGTTCTCGATGGCCATTGCCTCCAACCCGCCACGGACAG